AAAAAAAATTAAAAATAATATTATTAAATAAATATAAATTATTTTAATTAAAAATTATTTTATAAAATTAAAATATTTATATTAATATTTTTTTTATATTTTTTAAATAAATAAATTCTAAATTATAATTATAATTTTAATTTTTTAAAAAATTTAAGCAATTTTTTGTTCCCTACTGTATTAACAAACTTATTTTACTTTTTAATATAATTTACAAATTTTAAATCCTATTGATAAATTTTAAAAGTAGTTTATATATATATAATTTTATACAGTATAATATTATATAATGAAAACACCTCTATATTCAAATTACGGAATTTTTCGAATTGGATATTTCAGTTATAGAACTAAGTAAAGTATTTAGAGCTGAATACATGATTCTGGGAATCTAAAGATTATTGACACAATTAACTAAAATAGCAATGCACATTAATATAGCTTAACTTAGAACATTGCACAAGACAAGACAATTATCAAGAGTTTATTGACTACCAACTACGTATAATCTCCATCTTTTTTATAACATATTAAATTATTTTTTTAATCTATTTCTTTTCAAATCTTATTTTATAAAAAGAAAATATATTATCTCTTTTTAGATTCTATATTTGCTTTTAGACATATTTTAATTTTTTTTTAGTATTTAGAGTGTAAGAAATTTATTATGTATAAGGTCCCATAAACTCTTGACAACTCTCTATAACATAATTTACTTTCTGAGTCCAAGAAATCTAAGTGTTGAATTCCTTAAATCTTCATCAGGTTCTTCACCGGGAGTGAGATCCGAGGGAGATCTCGCTTGTACGATAGGAGCGGGATTAAGACTATACGAGTTGATATTTCCTTTTTTAATCTCAAAGTAAAACTTCACATCGATTGGTGAATCTGCAACCGTAAACTCTTTTAAAAACTTGTGAACACCAGCGGACGAAACAGCATAAGCATGTGTACAGAGTGGATGATTAGATTTGAATAACCCAATTCCATGACTTTCACCTAATATTTCCCCTCGCGAATCCAAACCGCAATGTCCGATGAATAGTGTCTCCCAATCAGTAGGTAAAATATCATGGATGCCAGTGATGATTGGTATGATATCCATTTCCATGTCTACATCATCTTCTAGGATCAATGTACTACTATAATCATTCTCTGCGATTGATTGGAAGACTCTATAATGACTGATAAAACAGGCTTTGTGATTATTTTGATAATTCCCCTCAAACTCATCTAAAGTTTTTTCATCATATTTAGAAACGGCCGGAAAAAAATCGAAATCTAAACCAAGTTTATCCGCAATCGCCTTTGTCCTCCTACGTCTGTCATGTCGGTAACAAAGATTGATAACGTAAATGTGGTCGAATCCGAGAGTACGGTTTAAGGACTTTGGTCCATGCAAAATGGAAAGTGGAGACGCTGTCTTAAGCCAAAAACCTATTGATGATATGTATAATAATGTTATTAGGACGCCAAATTTTAACCAACAAGCTTTGTTCATTGTCGTTGTAAAGTCAAAAGAATTACATCGAACTATATATTGCAACATACGCATTATTGTAACGTAATTCATGCAAGGACACTAAATAGTTCGGACGTATCTATTGGAACTTTAACGTTTTGGATTTGCCAGTTTAACATCGATTAATTGGCGTCTGATATTAATTTAGATGAAACGGGCCTATACTGTTGGTTTAATTTCATAGACCGTTTAATAAGGCAAATTTTTATGACTGTATAACTCATTTCTGATATGAATATACTGTAACTTATTTCGAATAATTTTTAATTTCGGATTAATTTTGGCATTTATCATGCCATTCCCTAAAAAAGAAATTATTTAAAGCGGGACAAGCATGACACGTAAATGACTATCACTAATAAAAAAACTGCATGCTTGCAAAAAAAAAAAAAAAAAAAAAAAAAATCATACGTCAAGAATTTTTATAATGAATTTTTTTTCCGCTTAATATACTGTAAATAATAGCAAAGAAACTGTGCACAAATAGCCTAATGATCAATGCGTTTACTCGATAAAAGAAAATTTGATACACGGGGGGATTTCGAAAAATCCGAAACTTTTTTAAACGTAAAAAGTTGTTACATAATAAACTTTTTATTCTATTAATTATATCTCCTTTTACGTATTAATTAAATTTAAACTAAACAATGAATTCTATATACTATGAAATTCTCATTACGTTACTTTAGACTTTTATTATTAACATTTAAGCTTTACATTTATATGAAATTTTTTTAATTTTTGAGTTTAATTATAATATACAGTATAACATATTACCAAAACTAATGTTTTAATAGATAATATGCTATTAAGTAATCTTGTATATTATATCTTTATTTACATGTATATTAAATTTTATTAATTTATATCAAATACATAAAAATCTACTCAGTACTCAGTAAAATATAATTGTATCCAATAAATAGTTAAATTTAGAAATTATTATCATTAATTTATAATCCTTGTTTCTTAGAAAACTTTTTATTTTATTAAGTAAATTTATTTTAGTTAATTATATAAGTATAATCATTACAATTAATTCTATTTATAGTAAATTTTTTATTTTATTATTTTTTTTTTTGTCTTCTGTCAGGCTAGTTACATATGTTTTATTAAACATTTGTAAGCTGTACATATAATATGAGACACTAAAGCTAATTCTTTAACTAACTCACTCATCTAGGT